GTTGTGATGGTCGACTTTCTCACGCATGCCTAGTGACTGGAACCGTACTGCGCATGTGCAAAAAGTCTCCGTTTTCAGAGGAACTGCATATTGCAAGTTTAAATGACAACAGAGATGATGCCGTTTCCAAAAAATTGCACTCTGGAACCCGTTTTCAAAACGTTGCGTTTTCAGGCACCCAAAACGCCTCTGTCGTGTAAACAATGGGCCAAAACGCAACTAAAGTTTACCATTTTCAGTTGAAATCGTTGTCGTATAAACAGGACCTAAGAAGCAGGTTCTTTAGTATAAAATACACTACATTACTACATTTCATGTGCCAACAGACAGTGGTGAGAGAAGTGCTCAGATGTAGCAATATGACAGTGCAGCAATACTCTGTTACAAGAAAGATTCTTGCATCTTAGTTCACATTTTATTTAAGTATGCGTTTTTTTTTTAATTTACTTAGTTACGACTGATTTTATGTGACTGTTGCCTTGTGTGTGTCAACCTTGTTGTTGTGATTGTTGTTTTTATTGCTACTGCGGCAGAATCAATTGCCCCTCGGGGACCAATAAAGGTCTTGAATCTTGAATCTTAAATCTTAAGTAACAGTACAAAAGTTTTAGCATTAATATTTACTTAAAGGACTAGTGTGTAAGACTTGAGATTTAGTGGCATCTAGCGGTGAGGACTGCAGATAGCAACCAGCTAAAACTTCTCCCACATAGAATTCCTTCAGTGTTCATCTTTCAGGAGGTTTTTACTGAGAGCTGAATTATCCACAGACGTCTCTTCCTCTCCAAAACAAACCAACCAGGTGATTTTAAACCAGTAAAAACACCAAACACTTAATTTTTTAGACGCTTCTCGTCACCAAGGAGCTTTGAACTATGGTGGCTGACGTGAAAACCACAAATGTTCTGGGCTACTGTAGAAACATGGTGGGGCAACATGGCCATTTCTGTAGACGAAGACCTGCTCCCTATGTAGATATAAACAGCTCATTCTTAGGTAACAAAAAAACAACAATTCAAATTTTCAGGAGATTATACACTAAGGAAAACACACTTATTATATTATATTCCATTTCTGCCAATATATCCCCTTAAATCCTACACACTGGACCTTTTAAGTACCAAGACTAAAAGTGGTCATTATGCATTTATATAAGGGTAGCTTGTGAATTCCCCATTTTTAATCTTGTAGTTTTTAGTTGATTATATTTTGTATTAAAAATCTGAGTCTGCAAAGTAACTATGATACTAAGATAAGTAATTAAGTACAATATTTCCTTCTGAAATGTTTTGGAGTAGAAGTGGAAAGTAGCTGAAAATGGAAATAATCAAGTAAAGTACAAGTACCTTTAAATCTGACAGTACTTGAGTAAATGTACTTAGTTCCTTTCCACAACTGCTAACAGACAGTTGGTTGTAAGTGTGGAAGTGAAGCAGGGTGGAGCTGATTAAGATTCAGTGTGTCTGTGTGAGGCTGCTTTGTTGGTCTGACGCAGATCTGGGATCACAGTTCCTTTCAACAGAGGTCAGGTGAGGCAAACATGCCCTCAGGGCTGAACTCACAGGTGGGAATGAGGTGAAACACTGATGGGGCGGTTTTCTCGGGTATCAGGTCAGTGTCAGCTTGTTTGTCTGAGAGACAACAGACAGCAGACTCAGGGGACTGCTGTCACTGTGTGTGTGTGTGTGTGTGTGTGTGTGTGTGTGTGAGAGAGAGAGTCCTCACCTGTTTTCTCCTCAGGTGAATCTCCGTCATGCCTTCTCTCTGCCACCTTCAGCCCTGTTCAGTGGTTCAAGTTAAAAAATCAGACACAATGGCACATGCACACAAAGACCTTCTTTTCAGAGTTTCTTCACCGACAGTATGTCCTTAATTTGGGATACATAGCTAAATAAAAACCAAAATAAATAAATGCTCAGTACATTAGCATTAAATACATAACTTTTCCTCATACACTTAATCAAAAACAAGTGACCAAGCAGTTACTGGGAAGAGAACTTAAAGGTGACAGAGAGTGAGCCCTAGACCGTACATAAAGACAGACAATGTGTCTCCACTCTCCAAAATATCCCAGATACTGCTGCCACTATCTTGTGATGGTGGTGTCATTTGAAGCCAGCCAGAGTCTGTGCAGTAGTGAAATTCAGCAGTATCAAGTTCCCGCCCATACACCCATCTGACCAAGTGTGAGCAGTGCCAGGGTTTCCCACAAATTCATATTTTTGTGGCGGCCCGCCATAACATCTGCCTCCACAAATAGAGTTGGGTCGACTTCCCATTAAACCCTTAAAGGAATACTCCGACGATTTGGGAGTTATGCCCTTTCCTATCATTTTCATAGTAAGACAACATGATCAATATCTTTTTTGTGTCTGTACGTCTAGTGGCTGGGTCTCAGCGGTTAGCAATGCGGCTTAGCTTAGCGAATACAATTGAAGTCTATAGGGGGTCAGTAGCCTGCTCATTAAAAGTGAACAAATAAACATTGCAGAAACCCTGAAGCTGGCATTTCTGCACGTGCATTTACAATAAACATGTTTAAACATTAATTTGAAAAAGAGAGTCCTTTTTAGTCGTTTTAGAAGAAGTTTGATACATGGAAGTATAGTGTGTTTACATCCTGCGCGGAGGGATAAACCGGTGAGCAACAGCTACAGCTGGCTTTGGGACAGGTGCACTAGGTCACTCGGTAAAAGCAAACAAAGAGACGAAAATGCGCATTATAAAGCGATATTACTCACTCGACTGAAAGCTACTGAGTTTAGAATAAATGTGTTAAAATGTATTTATTTTCTCCTAGTCCTTATTTTAAATAGGTTATAAAAAAAGATCGATAATTATCCTTATCGATCAATATGAACCAGCTATATCGTGATATACTTTTCAGCCATATCGCCCAAGCGAGCACACAAATTGGCACAGACAGCTGTCAATCACAAGCCATCACTACATAGAACACACACTTAGACTAACCCCCCCCCCCCCCCCCCCCCACACCCACACACAACCCGCGCTCTACTTATTTTATATTGTGTTATATATTGTCTCATGTTACACAACAATCCTGTTGCATAAATGTTGTTTGCTATGCAAACACAACTTATCTGTATTTCTTGTCTGCACCTTAAAAGTAGCCCCCGCAATTTTGTTGTATATGTAGCATCCTTTTGTTCCTGTGCAATGACAATAAAGGCTTTCTATACTATTCTATTCTACAACATCAACATCTTTTTCTTTTTTTTGGCATCAAATAACTAATTAAACCCAACTTATCAGAAAAATGAGCACTTGAACAAACATCAGCCTGATAAGAACTATCCAAAATGACAAAAACATCTTTAAGAAAAATTACATTGACTTGTTCTTCGGCCTTTTAGTTTGACCCATGTCACATCTGCTAACATAGAGGGGTGGGGTTTATGGCCTATACTGCAGCCAGCCACCAGGGGTTATGTTTTGGCTTCACTTTTTAGGAGCTGTCACGTCGTCCATCTTTATATAGTTTATGGAATGTACACAAGAAAAGCCAAGACTTCATAAAAAGTAGATTTCTGGAATAATACTTAGGCTTTGAAACATTTGACCTAATATAACCTAATTCTAAAGACAGAGTCAATACAAGACAGTTCTACTCTTAAGATTCACCTTAAATATATTTTTAGCTTTTAAAACCTCAAGTACCAAACTTAGACAATGTTAGTGTCATTTTTCACTGAAGTAAAGAGCTGATGCACAACATTTTTTAAACCGACACCAAGTCTATGTGTATTGGTTTAATCAAGAAGACATAAAAACAGCATGTGAAGGAAAATTACCATATGCAGAAATTATTCATTACTGTTGCTGGTTTACAGTGAAGTGTAACAGTGCCTTCAAGAAAACACTAGGTGTTCTAAATAAACCAATTCATCAACCCAACATTCAGATTTCATGTTAGGGAGGAGAAGGAGGTCAGGAGTTACAGCAGCCCGATAATATTTCTCTGGAAGGAAACAAGAGCCGACGAGACGAAAACACAGAGTAAACAGAGGAGGAAGCTGTGGTGGAAGGAGATAGCATTGAACAGAGAACGGAGGATGTGATATTAATTACTCATTTTTAACGCTTTAAAAGGGAGTTTGCATGCTGGGATGCAACAGATTAACATGTCCCCTCTCTACAAATAGGGCCACTTTCATTTAATTACACCAAGAAAAAGGACAGAACATGTATCTCAATTTGAAAACCAAGATTTATTTATCAAAGTTTTTCTCACATTTTGAAGAAAAGACATGATTATTTTAGAGTTGGTTCAATCAGGCCCTGTGCTCAAGACATGAGGCTGCACAAAGCAAAAGAAAAAGTGATGAAACTGCTGCTATCAAGTAAACTGATTTAGCATTCAGTTTTCTGAGAGCCAATGGCTGCAGTCAAAAAGTTATCTGAAAAGTCACTACATGCCTCCACTGTTTATATTACTTATTACAGGTTTAGTAGATGTTATAACTGCATTTGGCCTTGAAATCAGCATCCTTAACAAAGCTTTTCTTTTTACAAGTTGCACTACAATACTCACATTAAAGTGAAATCAGACATTTTTTTGCTTTAACTTATCATTATGAAGTAAATGTTAATTGAACATTAGACATTTGTGTCAAATTGTCATAATTAGCATATAGGTTCTTGAATTTACCTTAAAACATATTTTGTGAGGTCACAGTGACTTTTGACCACCAAAATGTAATCAGTCCATCGCAGAGTTGAAGTGGACATTTATGTCACGTTTGGAAAAAAAAAATCCCTCGAGCTATTCTCCAGATATCGCCATAATGAGGATGGGATGGATGGACGGATGGGCAGCCCAAGAACATAATGCCTAGTGGTCACAATGGTCACAGCCATCACTGGTGCGGAGGCATAAATAGAGTACCGTTGCTTGGCTAGGAAAATGGAAAGCAATCCAGTTGTCTTAAGGGAGGGGGGGGGGGGGGGGGGGGGGGGGGGGGGGGGGGGGGGGGGGGGGGGGGGGGGGGGGGGGGGGGGTCTGTTTTCACTTCTACAAAAGCTCATGACCTCAGTAGCTTACTAACATGAACCTCCAAGAAAAACTAGCATCTGGCAAAGATGCCAAAAGAGCCAAAAACCAAGGAGCCAAGAAACGACCATATCTGACAAAAACATGAGTTAAAGACAGAAAAAACCCCATGAAAACACAATGAAACAAATTAAATTCTCAAGTATAACTCTACATAAATTAATCCCTTAAGTGGGTTCTTAAAATTGAACCCTTCAGTGATTCCATTAATCCTTTTCAACACTGACAAGTTTTTAAATTACACCAGACTCAAACCTACTTGAATACAGTGTCTGAACACATCTACGGTATCTGTGTCATGTAAGACGACACCTTCACCAAACTATTACCCTAAATACAATATTACATGCCACAGACTGATGGAAAATCTGTCAGAAAAAGGGTGCTTTGAACAGTCAGTGTTTTTAAATAGCAAGTATTTTAAATAATGAGTAGGCCTATTTGATGTTTAGCTTAATATTTTTTGTTTTCCTTCAAAGTTAAATCTGACTGTTTCCAGCAGAGTGCACCATATGGCAAACTTTATTAATCAGTATTTTCTTCACTAAATGACTTTATCAGATCTGAATTAGGATGCAAACATAAGGCTCTGAACTTTGTGTGAAAAATTCAAATTGATGCTGGCATCATGAGATAAGAAGACGCCTTCTTCTGCTACTCAGATTTACATGTTTTCTTCACCAAAATAAAACTCACAACTTAAAACATAATCTACAGTGACATCAACCCACCATGCAAACTGAAGCAAGACGCTTCCAAAAGACAGTTTGAAATTAATATTACACATTTTCTTTTTCGCCCCCTTTACATTCCCACCATGTTTTAGGATTTTCAAGAGTTCTTCACAAAATTTTAATACCACAAACTACAAAATGGTCAATTTGGAAAAGAAGGAAAAAAACACCCTTAAAAGACTGCAGCAGATGAATATAAGAACAATCACCAGAATGTCACCACTGATATGAATGGCAGGCTCATATCACAGTATACCATTATTTGACTTCTTTTAGAATATTTACTTAAAGGAACAGTGTATAAGATTTAGGGGGATTTAGTGCCATCTAGTGGTGAGGACTACAGATTGCAACCAGCTAAAACTTCTCCTGGTTAGAATTCCTTCAGTGTTCAATGTTCGAGATTTAAAAAATTCAGGGAACTGAATTTTCCACAGAGGTCTCTTCCTCTGCAAAACAAACAGACCAGGTGATTCAGTAAAAACCCTGAATAAAGAGGCATAATGTTACAAATCAGTGCTTTCTGATGTTGACTGGCATATCAGGGACGGACGTTACCCCAGTACCTGCTAATTCATGCTCACCATTTTTGTTTGATACCTTAAAATCCAGATGTTTAGGAGGTTAAATATCCATAGAGGTTCCTTCAAGGGTTTATGTTAGTCTTTGCCGGTATCATGTGTAGTTGTCCGGCAGACAAAGGCCAAAATGTCCGGAGGGATATTTGCCAAATAAATAAATACCTTCATCAATAGCATTTTAAATAGCCTAACATTGTTGACCTATAATGTATGCTGCCAAGACAACTTAAATATAAACCTATATTATGCAGACCAGATTCTAGGATTTTCAATACGAATTGATCTATTTAGTCACCAGCAGTACAGAGTGTGTCCCTGCCTCGTCAGAGCATACGCCACATCCATGGGAGTCACGGTTCTACTCTTAGCGTTCTTGGTGTAGTTAGGTGATGGCATCATGGGTCAAGTTCTTCAGGAAGACCTTCAACACACTGTTGGTCTCCTTGTAGAAAAGGCCTGAGATAAGCTCCACTCAGATGCCAGATTGCAACTTTCATGATTTATGGTGATGCTTGTGGCACCCAGTCCTTTTCCTCCTTTGCCTCTGCCGCTGAACTTCTGATTAGTCATTCTGTTCAACAGATGGCTTCTTCATTTGGCTTATTTTCAAGTTATTTAATTAAGTGCTTTCTTGTTGTTTAAATTCATAGCCGATTATACAGCTATTTAAATCATATGCCCAGTAGTTGTTTCATGTGGCCAGAATTCTAGAATATAAAAATCAATATTGGCCATAAAAGAAGTATGCTCTAACCCTGGTTTCCTCCTCTCCAAAACAAACAGACTTGGTGATTTAAACTGGTAAAACTCTGAATTAAGCAGTTTCATATTAACGAAAAATCAGTGTTCTTCCAGCAATTCTTGTTTTCAGGTGATTATGCACTAAAGAAAACATACCTGTTATATTTCTACCAATATATCCCCCTACATCCTAAACACTGGACCTTTAATAGGAAATATTTTCATGTGATCAAAGAAAGAAAAATTGTGATGTCATGCTGTTGGGATAACAGCAAATGTCCTGTTCTCTAAAATTTCTTTATTGTCCTTACTCTGTAAAGTGTGGATTCACCAGCTCCGTCATGGAGAGGGATTAAAGTTGAAGTATTTTCCACATTATTTTTCATGCCCCTTGTCTATGCTTCCTTTCAGCCTGCAGCCAATCAGAGCTTTAGCACCATTTACACGATAGTTACTTAGATCCAGGGTGTCATTTTTTCTTCCCGCCCACAGCCATCTTCTCCTCCACCACACTTTTCTCCCTCCTGACTGCTGACACACTTCCTCTGTCACTTCTAACCTCCGCTGCTGGAACTTTCGGCTGGGAAGCATTTGGTTTCCTCTCGAGGAGCTCCTGTTTCTTCACTTCTACCTTTGCCAGCCTCTCTGCCTCCATCTTGTCCCGAGCAGCCTTTTCTCTGGCGAGCCTCTGCCTCTCCATCAGCTCAGCTCTCTCACGCTCCAACTTCTCCCTCGCTGCTCTTTCTTTTTCCATCCTTTCCTTCTCGAGTCTCACCTGTTCAATTCTCTCCTTCTCCCGGGTGATTCTTTCCCTCTCCATCCTCTCCCTCAGTTCTCTAGCTGCCCTCTCCTTTTCTGCTCTTTCTTTCTCTAGTCGCTCCTTCTCCTGAGCAATCCTTGCCCTTTCCCTGGCAATACGTTCCATCTCCATCTTTTCCTTCTCTCTAGCTACTCTTTCTTTTTCCAGTCTTTCCTTTTCTGCTCTCTCTTTTTCCCTGGCGATTCTCTCTCTTTCCTTAGCAATACGTTCTCTCTCAAGTCTTTCTTTCTCTGCTCGTTCTATGGCTTTTCGTTCTTTCTCTTGCCTCTCCTTTTCGTCCCTCTCTCGCTCAATCCTCTCCTTCTCCCTTGCAATTCTTTCTCTTTCCTTGGCAATGCGTTCCCTCTCCAGCCTTTCTTTTTCTGCCCTTTCTCTGGCGATACGTTCTCTCTCTAGCCGTTCTTTTTCTGCCCTTTCTCTGGCGATACATTCTCTCTCTTGCCTTTCTTTTTCTGCCCTTTCTCTGGCGATACGCTCTCTCTCTAGCCGTTCTTTTTCTGCCCTTTCTCTGGCGATACGTTCTCTCTCTTGCCTTTCTTTTTCTGCCCTTTCTCTGGCGATACGCTCTTTCTCTAGCCTTTCTTTTTCTGCCCTTTCTCTGGCGATACGTTCTCTCTCTAGCCTTTCTTTTTCTGCCCTTTCTCTGGCAATTCGCTCTCTCTCTAGCCGTTCTTTTTCTGCCCTTTCTCTGGCGATGCGCTCTTTCTCTAGCTTCTCTTTTTCTGCCCTTTCTCTGGCGATGCGTTCTTTTTCTTGCAGCTCCTTCTCTTTGGCGATCCACTCTCTTTCCCTAGCAATGCGTTCCCTCTCCAGTCTTTCTTTTTCTGCTTCCTCTTTGGCAATCCTTTCTTTCTCAAGTCTCTCCTTCTCTGTCTTCTCTCTCTCCATCCTGTCCTTCTCTCTGGCTATTCTTTCTCTTTCGATCCTTTCCTTTTCAGCCCTCTCTCTTTCCAGTCTCTCTTTCTCCTGTTGTTCCCTCTCTGCCTTCTCTCGTTCTCTGGCAAGGCGATCTCTCTCCATCTTTTCCCTCTCCACCCTCTCTTTCTCCTGTTGTTCCCTCTCCTCTTTGGCTGCCTTTTCTTTGGCCAATCTCTCCATCTCTTGTCTCTCCTTTTCTGCCCTCACTTGAGCCAGCCTCTCTTTCTCTGCCTTATCCTTTGCTTCCCTCTCCATCCTTTCCTTCTCAGCCTTCTCCTTCTCCATCCTTTCCCTCTCCAACCTCAGCTGCTCTTGTGCAGTCTCCAGCGTCTTCATCTTCAGCGCCCAGGCCGTCTCCTTCTCATCCTCTTCTTCAGCGAGGAAGGCCCTGATCTCCGCCAGAGCGATGCGAGCAATTCTCTTGGCTTCCATCTTCTCGTGGATCATCCTCAGCTCTTCCCTCAGAGCAGAGCACAGCCGGGTGCCACTGATGGGACGGTCTGAGGTTTGGATTCAAGGTGGACTTTTAAACCGCAGTGTGAATTTCATCCACAAACATCAATCAAACACGCAACTTATCGGCTTGTTATGTGACATCACAAAGCAAACAAGGAAGTGTTAGAAAAGGATGTGACATCATCACACAGTACATGCTAGTACATAATCTGTTCTATCATTCCAGGAGCTAAGCTGTACGATCATAAAACAAAAATTATTAGAAACCAAATTAAAGATAGATTTGATGTCAAATGCACTTTTCATTTAAAGAAAATACTACAATATTAAATAACCTTTGTTGTATAACATGATCTATTACTGGTGTTTTCAAATTGTTTATTTTCTTGGAACACCTGCCACCTGAGAGGTATTCAATTTTCAATGATATGAAACAAGGAAAAGCAACAAATTCTCATATTTAAAGGTTCTGTATGTAACTGTATACATATATTGATCATTTTTTATTGCCAATGAGAGAACAGGTTGTAACCAAACTTATAAACTCAGATCTTCCCTGTCTTTCTTGGTTTCCTATAAAAGCCTGTGGACTGTTTCTATGTAAAGGAACTGGGCCAGATTTTTCCCAGAAAATCTGAAGGATGTGACGCTATGCCCGTCCTGGGTCTTGCCTCTCATCAGCTCAGCCACAGCGCTAACAGTGTGCAACACTAGCTAACTTAAGCTCAGAAATGAAGTCTGCTAATGTCAACAACTGACTGGCACCCACCACAACACGGAGTCTACACATGCTGTATTGTCATTATATACATTTTATACTGGCCCGGCAGAGATGGACCTTCACTTCGCATCCTAGGCGCCCGAGCGCCTGGGGTCTGATCCTGGACAGCACTGTTGACCGCCCCAAGTCCCAAGTCCCCAGCCACAAGTTTGCTGCTCCGCTGGGGACTTGGGACTTGACCGCCCCAAGTCCCCAGCGGAGCAGCAAACTTGTGGCTGTGATGGCCACCGGCCCATTGTGAACCCCAAGGTTGGGGTTTGCACCAGCTGAATTTGAGTTGCTACAGTGGCTAAAGTCTGAGCTGCCGGGGAGCAAATTTGCATTTCTTGGATAGTGATGGAATGACCTGCCCTACTCTCACTGTGATTGGCCAGTACTTGTCTTTGTTGGTTGGATTGATTAGGTTTAGGCAAGAGAACTGAGACTAGTTAGGGTTAGGGTAAAAATACCAGGTTAAGCCAATCAGAGGCCGAATAAAGCAGAGAAAGGCAGGCCACTCCTTTGCTTTTTTAGGAAAGGCAAATTCACTGCCAGGAGGTGAGGCAGAGCGTCGGCGGGCTGTGCTAGCAAGCTAATTCTTGTCTCATTTGTTTGATAAACAGCAAATTTATTAAATTCATTACCTCATATCATTCAGTGCCCCTCGGTGCTGAACAGAAATCCCACGTTACAGGAAGCACTGACAAGTGAAATATTTTGTAATTTTAAATGGCTAATGTTAGCTAACGTTAGCTTGCTTGCTAACGCGGACAAATTGCTACCTAGCTAAAGCACCAAACTGTCATGAGTGAATAACATCATTTAATTCATCCAGACTGACCTGGCTGGTAAATTAGCTAGCTTGCTGTTTGTGAATTACATTATCAGCTTACCACTAATTACAAGGATTTTGTGAGCATTATGTACGGAACCTTTAAGAGCCCAAAATCAGCCAACCTTATTGATTTGAACTTGATGAATGTGTAATCAATTATTAAAATTGCCATCCTTAATCTTTTCTGTCAATTTACTTAATTAATTAACAAACTTATCAATTTAAAAGTAGATGATAGGAGTGGGTAACGAGAAAAATGTCCTCCAGCACGGTATGTGTAACACTAGCATAGCTAGCACACTGCATATGAAACATATAGTACATATGTTCTGTATTAACTATTAACTTGCACTTACGTATACTTAGATCTGATACTGTACATATAGATCTATATTCAGCCAAACTAGCGTGATCACTACCTGTTTATAACCTGTTTATAATTTCATCAGCGACACTGTTGGCACTATATTGTATACAGTACATTAGGGATTTGGACCTTATTGTTATCTTAGACTATGATATTTGCACTCTTCCCTCTTTGTATTACAACTGCTGCACAGCAATTTGCCTTGGGATATATGAAGTTTTTATCTTATATGTCATATACATAGTGATATAATTTTTTTTTTTTTTAAACTGTTCAGCTCTTTCATTTTAAAACATAGCATACATTTTTGTTGTATTTTTTTCTATTCTATATGTACTGTGTGGGGTATGTCTTTTGTAGCTTTTATTTTAATTTTGTGTGTTTATTGTTATGCACCAATACACAAAAGCAAATTCCTCTTATGTGAAAACCTACTTGTGCAAAAAAGACTGATTTGGATTCAACAACAGGATTTAATCTAAAACTTGTTCAATACAGCATATCTGTTTTGTCTTTTCTGTCAATCAGCTGTTAAATCAAAGCCATGCCTGAAAATATCAAGTCAGACCACAAGAAAAATCTTTATTTCAGACATGCAGGCAGTTTAAGTACCTCTAGTTGTGTTCCTTGTTGCAGCAGTCTCCCCTGCTTCAGCTAGATATCAAATAAAACATTATGTTTGAGTTTGTTTTCTGCTGTCCACAGTCAATAGGTCAAACTCACATCAACAGATGGATAGGACAAGAGATTAATTCACACACAGTAATAGAGGAACATCTACCTTTAGGGATTTTTATTTCTCGATCAGTCTTCTCTAACATCTTGTCTTCTAGGACGACACAAACAAACCAAACTGTTTGATACTGCAGTCAAAAATAAAGGCACATCATCACAACGGGCAAATCAAACTGCTACTACAACTAGGTGCGAAGTTTGTTGCTTCGGAGCAGCCTTTACCTTAGCCTACTGTATTCTGTTGAGTATTTGTTTTTTTTGTCACCTGTCCATCTTTTGCACAGATTAGGCTGCATTAATATATTACTCTTATTGGCCATTTGCACACAGGGCTTTTTTTGTACTTGCAGTGGTGTGTGAATAGTATGGCTCTGCACCACTGCCTGTCTCTCCCCTAAGCAATGAAACACTATGTGCCGTAGAAGACAGTAAAATGCAAGAGACTAACACTTAGCTGGAATGAAAGGAGTGGTCATAACTTTAGTAAATATCTGTCTGTCTCATATTGAGTTTGCTGTCGTTTATGGCGTGTGGTGTTTCGCCGTGGGCAGGCCTCGTACGGAACCTCAGCAGAGTAGAGAGACAGACAGGGGAGAGTTGGAGAGTTGACAATTGCTGCACTTGTTGAGTTGCTATGCATGAAAGCTTTGCAACTCAGAACACCTGAGTGACAGCTGACATAAAACAAAGGATCAGTTTGGGCTCTATGTAGCTCAATATAACTGATCCCCATCCGTTTTAAAAAAGTCTTGATCGGCCCTGATACTGATCTCTGAGATCTGATCAGGACATGTCTAAACACAACAAATGCAAATAAAGCAGGAGTGGAACAACCAGTGCAAAACCAAGCATGTTCTCTGTCAACACTGAAATATCATTCTAAATCTGCCAAGTTAACACTGAATCAGCTGTGATGTTCACACCTGTTGACTGTCTCTCATTAAAAGCCTACAGTGTCACACATGCATTACGTTTTAGTACAGGTGACCACAATCAAAGGTTACTTAGGATCAAACAGAGTCGTGCAGTAACAGAAGGAACTGTGACGTTACCTTTACTTCTACCTTTCTTCTTCACCTCTTTTCTGTCTTCTATGAGTATTTACAAACAGACAGGTCTGTCAGGAGAGCTCTTAGCAGAGTACCAGTGCACACAAACAAAACACACTTTTTGTACAGTACCTTTTCTCTGCCTGTCTCTCCTAAGAGCAGGAGCTTTAAACTTCTTTTCATCTGAACAGAACAGACAGCAGAAGAAGGTAATGAAAACTACCAGCTGTGTATGTCGAGTCAGTCAGGTTAAAATGCCAGAGCTGCCATGTGAAATCAAATGAGTCCATTGTGAAGAGAAATAAAGAAAAATTAATAATCAAATCCCTGATTGCTGATGTTCCCACTCTCATCAAACGTTTCCATGACTAACTTCCTTTAATTGAACTTTTATTTTTATCAAAATGACGCTAAATCACTTGTTTAATTCTTCCCAAGCACAGTTACCAGTTCACCGACCTTACCACCGACCGAGGAAAATCAGCGGCACTTGTTAACCCAAAAACAATACTGAGTGTATGTTGTACTTATCTCTCTGGGCTCTCTGTGGTACCAGAAAAAGTTTTCTAACAAATGGCGTTAAGTCCAAATAAGAGATGGCGAAAAAGGTTATAGAATGTCCAAAAAACTTTCTAAAAATTCCTGTGCAGTATTATCCAAGTATCTTGTACCAAGTTGTTGGGTCATGGAAATCCAAACACACAAAAACAACTATTGCTAAATAGTGCATTTATGGATTATTCTCCTGTTAGTGATGTGGTCAGGGTTTCTTAAAGCCTGCACCAACCCAGCCTGATATGAGAATCAATCCACCCCACTCCACCTGTAAACATACGCACTAATCAATGACCCAAACCCAACCTACAGACCAGAGCTGAAAGTTTCTGGTGTATGACCATTACTAATAACAATGTACTTGGTGTTGGCTCTATTGTCTGTCATTTCCAGTAAATATCACAATATAAAACGTGTGTTTTCGGTTTAAAAAGTACATGCATATTAAGACAGCAAGTACCCATCCATCTTTAACTGGTTATGTGTAAAGTATGATCTCAAGTGCACAGCTGATAACCTATAAGGTTTGTTTACATGACGTTACTGAAGTGCTTTTTTAATGGACTGTGGACAGAGGCACTTGCTTCTACAGAGTTTCCTGGTCAAAAACCAAATAGAGGAAAGCCAGAGCCCCGCAATGCTGATGATCAAGCTGCTTGTGTGAGAGAGATCAAAAGCGAGACAGAGAAATGGGAACAGAAGGTGGGAGTTGGATTATTGCAAAATGTTTCAAAAAGTTATTAATAACTTACTCAGAACTTTGCTTTGTCACTTATGACCAGCCCACCTAAAACCTGCAATATTTCCTAACAAGCTTACCAAAACTGCATAACCCGTGGGTCAACCCACAAGACCTGTAGGCTGTAAATCAACCAGTGCATCACTACCTCTCATGAAGGAGCATGTGCCCATCAATTTTCACAAAGTTTTTCAGAAAGTTTCAGAATCTTTTTTATCGTCTTTTGTTCGGCCTCCATCAAATGGCTCCAGTATAACAGATGTCCCAGTAAGCCATGCAAGTAAGGAGAAAAAAAAATAAATAAAAAAAAATAAAGGGCTGTGGCGCAGGCTCACCTAAATAGACATCAATTTGAATAACATCCATTTAAAAAAAGCCTATTTACTAATATTTTGGTGAAAATACAAAAACTATTTCTGGACAGCAGAGAAGAAGTACACAACAATACATTTTTACTATTAAACTGGGTCTCCATTAAAATCCATTTTATCTGTAAGACTGCATGACTTTCTGTTATCCCGAGCTAAATATAATTACTGCTATAAATGTTCCTTTTGTACCAACTGTTGACCTTATAGGTCACATGAAAACTCTGTGTACACTGTTTGGTCTGCATGTTACTATGTAAGTTACATGCTGTCAGAATATTATAATGCACTTTAGTAATAGCTGTAAAACAGAAAAATACTGTGAGGCCAAGACAACAACATGATCAAACCTGCCAACTGTATATCACATTTCTAGGACCTAAAAACAGAAAGCAGAATACAATCTATGGATGTGATTATTAGTGGTTTGTAGGCAAAAAAAAGTGTGTTAATATAAAGTGAGTTATATTAATATTAACAAAACACATACATCACAGCAGAATATAAAGAGCAGTCGGCCTTATAACTGTAACATCTCTGCTAACTACAAGTCTTCAACTCAACCTCCTCAGCAGCACAAGCACAACTCGGTGACAGTTAGCTTCTCTCTCTTTAAGCCATCAGTAAAAGATGCAGCTGTTCAAATGAAACAGGATCTCCAACAGAGGCTATTAACTTGCCACAAGTTGATGCTAAAAAATTAAGAGAGCGTTCAGCATCAGCACACAGAATACTAGAAAGTGTGACAGGTGATCAAATGCACGACATTTCACTTTGGACAGTCTAATCTGGAACTCTCTATGGTAGACTCTAAGATTACCTTGGCCAAACAGGTTATGTTTTTGGTACGGTTTGTTTGTTTGTTGTTTGTCAGCAGGATTACGGAAAAACTACTGGCTGATTTTCACGACACTTGGTGGAAAGGTATAGCATTGACCAGGGAAGAACCCATTACATTTTATTTTTAGGGCAAAACTAAAGACCTGTGGGTGTCCTTAGACGAAAGAAAACGTGTTTAGGATGAACAGATATCTTCCCCGGGATGCTGTTGAGACCAAAGAACGCAGTAAAGTCATTATCAATGTGTCAAAAGATGCACCCCATTGTTTCCCTGATAGTGCTACATTGTGATCAACAAAGCTGACATCAGCAGAGGAGAGCTAGTTAACGGTGGCTGTAACTCACAGCTAACAGAGGCTTCATTGAGTTACATTATGATGCGTACAATCTCTATTCAGTAAAAGTGAGTATTGGGCGAAGACAGGGGCATTTCTAGGATTTGTGGACATTGGGGGCTTAGCTGAGACCTCTGGGTGGGTCGGGGGGATCCTCCCCAGAGACATTGTTTTTATGAATAAGCTATTTTGATGCTTTTTGGTGCTCTCTGGCATCTTACTTACACTTTTTTAATTTTCATTCCCAGATTTACTACGACTTGTGATTTTAAAAATATTAGTAGTTAGAAATTAGTATTGAGTAGAAGCAGAATACTTGTATTTCAGTATTTCCATTTTATGCTACTTTTTACTTCTACTCCACTACATCTCAGAGGGAAATATTGTACTTTTTACTTTCATTTATTTGTCTGGTTTAGTTACTTTGAAAACTTAGATTGATAATACAAAATGTAATCAACTAATAAATGATAATGTATAATCTTAGTTTAAACTACCAGCAGTATATAAAGCATTTAAAATGAGCTCAACCTTTACCAGCTGCAACATTAAAGTGATTACTGGTGTGCTCTTTCTCTTGCATGTGATCACAATGCACAGTGTCATCAATGTTTCTTTTATAAAGCTTATTCTTATATAAAAACCCCACAACAACAACAATAGACATACAGCCTGTTTAGATCAGGGGCTATTTATAAAACTGCTCATGATGTGTTCAATGTAATGTTGTAAAATTTTGTTTTTTTGTCAGAAATTTGAATAAATACAGCTGTTTGAAGGAGAAATTTGTTCTTGTTGATGTTTTCAGAGCAATGTAAAACAGATATTAGGGAGGAAGTTATGATATATTACATATAGTTAAAAGACTTCTGAAGCAGTTATTTTTGCAAAACAAGGTTATATTAGAGGTTGTTTTATAAACGTGTATGATTGAATTTGTGCTCACTCAAAGATAGTGTAACAAAGGACTGAGTGACTTCAGCTTTTCTTTTTATAATGAACATTTCTTTGTTTCTCTGGCACAAAGGGGGAATAAATAATAACAAAAAAAGTAAACAACAACAATAACAACAACAAAAACACTGGTATCGTGTGTTGGCAAAGAATTTCACCAATGGGTGCATCCTTGATAAATTTCTTTACACATCAGTTTATATTTTGTGTAAATAATAATTAAATCCAACCTATTGGGAGAGAAATTAGATCAATTTTTGCCCTCTTAAATGTCAGGTTTAAGAGTATCGCCCATCACACAAAATGAATTTAAAACAGTCCCTACTTGCAACCGCATCGTCATGTGCGCATACCAAATACAACAACAAATAATAATAATGAACTAATTCATGCATAAAAACAAGTTAAGTCTCTGCAAGGTAGATTTTTACATGTACAAATAAGTTGTATGATTATTGTCCTATAAGATATTTCCAGTGTTCAGGAATGTTGTTTCATATTGTCAAATAAATTAATTATGTATTTTATGATATCTATCTTGGGCAACATATACACAAATACTAATACATTTCCAAAGCCAGTACAAGCTGATATTATATTATCAGGTTGTACTATCAAATAAATCAAATAAACTTCATTATTAAATCAAAACCAGTGTCTGTAGATAGTTTAAGTCCTGTCCAGTTTCTAGTTTCTTTTAAAGGCCTGTGCGGCCAGTCTGCCCAGTTTGGGATTGCAGTGGAAACCAGAGAGTCCTCCATCACGTCCTCTGCGCCACAGCACACGCACATGCACACACACGCACACGCGCACACACACACACACACCCTCCAGCTGGACTGGGCTACATCCCAGTCTGCTCCTCACTGGTCGGTAGTGGGACCAGGGAGCCTTGCTACAGGCTGTGGGCTTTGCGTTCTGTCCTCCTACTGATTCTGGAGGTCCAGTATGACCCCTTTGACCTCCCCGTCATCAGAGGAGGTTGAGCCACCTTCTTCCTGCATCTCAGCTGCTGCCTCCTTCCCCTCCTCCTTCTCATCCTCCTCGCCACGCTCTACGGGCGAGGACACTACGTCATAAAGGAAGGTGAAGAAGCCATAGATCCAATCAGAGCCCTCTTCTGCTAAAATATTAAGAACCTCTTCAAGCGACTCAGCATTTGCACTACCGCCGCCATCTTTGGTCAAGCCTGACGAGAGAGAGAGGGAGAGAAAGGGAGGGAGGAAGAAACAAAAGGAGCAGAGGTGGAGATGGAAAAATGGGAAGTGGAAACATAGGTGAAGCACAAAGGGGGGAGGCTGAAAGGAGGTATATTAAGGAAGGACGAGTAAAAGAAAGAGAAAAATATAGAATAAGAAAGAGAGAGGTAAGTGTGAGAGATGGGGGAAGGAGGGAGGGAACAAAGGAATGGAGAGCAACCGTAACAAAAACAGGGCAAAAATTAAAGGATGAGGAAGCGGGAAAGAGAAAGATAGTGAGTTAAAGAAGTCGCATATGAACCACAGACAACAAATAAGCCTTTACTTTCTGTCTCAGTCTCGCCAGGCCCAATCCCTGACTTCCTGTCTGCTTTAAAACAACAGATAGAGGCCGCCATCTTTACTCTAATTCTCTGCCCTTTTCCTCAGTGTCTTAAAAAAAACTGCATCTGTAATACAATGTCTGAATTGTTTTTGCACATCCTACTGATTGCACCAGTTTTTCCTGCTGCCTCTATCAAATTTTGTCCTGCCTCCAGCTCTCGACAAATACTGCCAAGTGTCATTATGGAAAACGCTATTTTCTAACAGGTGTTGAATATGGCTACACAATGGCTGTGTAGTATGGCTGCACTTGGGAGATTTCTGTCATTTGTAACTGCAATTTCAGCCTTACACCGATATGATGTTTATCATAAGACTACTGCTGTGCCTGGGACAGAGTTACACACACAGTGACAGGGGTACCTGTAAGCAACACACAGCTAATGTTATGCAATGTCTATTAACAGGTTTAATGACAAAGTTGAGCTGTTTTGGTGTCTACGTAAATTTGTTGAAACTGTGTGCGTAGACTCGTACCCTATGCTGCATCCTGACGTGCACCTCCCTAGACATGTAACCATATGTCTTATGTGTGATTTATCCAGGCTTTATATGTGCAGAGAAAAACTCTGCTAGCTGCTTGGCTAATTATCAAAATGCAAAATGTCACAAGCTTACGCTATTTGTCTGGTGTAAGACAGTTGTTTTGTTGGTGAACCTTGTGAGCTGTAATGGAGCTGAATTTTGTAATGTTACATTTGGTAAGTGTTGCTGTTGTCCCTGGCCTCATATGAGTAGAGGAAAACACCATAGCTGCCAGTCTAATTTGTACAATGTAAAATACCATAGGCTTATGCTAATAACATTAGCATGTTGTATTTGTGGGGAAAATGTGTCAGCAAAAGATGTGTTTTACCTGTAAACCTTGTGAGCTATAATGAAGCCAATTTGTGTTTGAAATTGTTGCTTTAAAGCCACGTTTAATGTGTGTTTTGGGTGTGTTTGAATCAACTCAACTTAACAGCACTACACAGAAACCCCACCTCCAAAGAACATTTTTGAGGTGTGAACTACAGAGCAACACAGGCACACCACTGCACAAACATAAATGCTCACAGTGGCTCTGCTTTAACTGAGCAGAGAAAGCAGAAGGAGAGCGGTGCATGGAGACTGCCCTTCATGTCTGCTTCAAACAGCTGTTGACCTCTCTCCATCACAAATAGATTAGAATTATGTGGGAAATGCTGACTGCTCATAATATTTAGCTTTGAATCCGAGACAGCCAATCATACTTGGGCATGTTACACATCAATACAGGGCTCCACACTACTCACACCCCCTGGGCTGTCTGACCAATGAGGAATTATTAATTTCATGCAATTGTTTAATTTATTCAAATTAATACATATATAGACATTAAGAACTAAACTTGACATCATGTATAGTTCAAATACTGTGTTTCTGAGTGTTGTGGTGTTATTTCCATGAGATTCTTTATCTTTTCATGGTTATTCATCTTTCAAAGACTGCCTGTCATTTGCTTCAGTTGCAGCACGTGAAGTTGTGGCAAGATGCACTTCCAAGAACTGAACATATTGAAATGAACTTGAACCAAAGTAATTACATGCCTGAAACCAGCTATGTTTTTACGTGAATGCAGAGGAGCATTAAATGCATATCAAACACACTTACAGCAGGACAGAGAATCAGAATATGTCTCACTGATTTTTCTTACTGAAAATGAGATCCCATGGTACACTGTGAGTATAAATGGAAGTTCAGGATATAAATATTAACAATCTAATTTCCTAAACAGTAAACTTTGGCAGTAGTATTCCTCCCAGCAGCCCAAACATTTAGCATAAGCCCCCCAGTGTCCTTCCTGTGTTGCAATAGAGGAAGTATATTATTGTGTGGTCCAAATATACTAAAGACTGACTAAAGTTGCACGATTGCATCTGACTTGTCTTCAGTTGAACTTTAAGAAGAGGATGTGCCCAACACCAAACACACTAAACCATTATTAACAGTTAGTACAGGAAGCTTTTATACCTCCTACAGCATCAAAAGGTGCTCACTCCTACTGTGAACATCTCTTCAAACATTCACAGACATGCTTCTGATTTTTTTCTTCTCACAGGCAACAAACAACAGGTGATCACTCACTGCTTTAGTGGAGTTCACACCACAGAGTAAAAAAACTGGTTTAAAGCTGGGGCACTGGGATACACACATCTGTAAACCACATCAGTCAGGCATCACACAGAAAAAACAGGCACAAGAACAGAGAACTAATGAAAGTGGACTTGCCTAACAGAACTTTAGCATCTTCCACGTCAAAGTCACCATCTCCGTCAGTGTCATATGCTGTCAGTTTCCCTAAGGGAGAAGAGGAGGAGAGCGAGGCTGAGTGATACACATATACAAACAAACCTAAAGGGAAACCTTTAAAGTAATGTCCAAATAAATGTCAAACTTTTTCTGTACAGTGGTTGAATATGATGTGAATGAATTTATTATTAAACTAATAGAGTCCTAACTGTTTAATTTTATTTTGCTGAGGGAATAGTTTCCTCCAATAAATGGCACTTTCTTTTATTTTAGGAAAGCAACAATGACAATGTGAAAATAATATTACATTGTTCAACATTAATAAATACAGAAGAAGTATTTGTATGTGTCTGTACTGCTGATAGTCAGATCTACAGGCACTGTGTTTTTGGGTTGATTTTTTATTATATTTATCTGCATTTCTAAGATTATGTGACACAATAAAAGTCATTCCTAAATAAAAGGCAACCTAAAAAAAATGATATCTTAATGACTCCCTTACCTACACAGCACCTATACTTTAATACATTGTGATGATCTTTGGATAAAAAGCAAGGATTTCTTCTATAAAGTTCAATAACTAAAGTTCTGCAAAGGTCTAATACTAAGACCTAAACCCAGCTTGTGAATACTTGAAGCTGTATTTTTTATTTTATTTCTCCCATTACTTACTGCTAGCTTGCCAGGCTAATACAGCCCGGTGCAGTCAGGGGGAAAAAAGAGAAACTTCATGCAGCAAAATTTCTCGGAAGCAGAACCCTGCTACTTGAATAAGTTATTTATAAGAACATAGAACACAGCATATTGACAGCAACACACAACAGTACCCCAAAGTACATTAAGTATTCATTTGAAACAGATTACACATTAGAGGAGGAGGAAGGATGTGGTGGAGGAGGACGATGATGTCAGTAACACTTCACACACCATCTGTTATCTGCTCTTTTCTGACTCATTGCTCTGCGAAATCTCCACAAAATATAGTTTCAGAATCTGAATACACTGTGGCTACAGAGCATCCAGACTCTGTGGCTGCTCCTCTACTGACATGGCAGCAGCTGATAAACTCACACACAATATCACAATATTACACGCAAGTTCTTGGTGTCTAGTTTAACTATGGGGGTAACAGCTTACAGAGACCTACACAGAGACTGTGTGATTAAAGTAGTGGTTACTGATTAATTTAGTTACCGTTACCATTTCATTCAAGTTTATGAGATTTGTTTTTATAAACATTAACTGGGTTAACGTCTGGAGGTATATGCAGGAAATATATTATGTTATGGCTTGATATAGGAGAAAAAACTGTAAAAACTGGCAAACTTTTGTCCATTAATTACCTTTAATTTGAGAAGAAAACTTTTTTCCCCTCTCAAGTCTCCATGGTGAACAAAGAATCCATAAAATGCAAATGTTTTTGTTTGTTTTTTTTAATAAAAGGAAACAGGGACCACGTTTAACAACAGTAAAACTATATTAGAACATCCATTTACAAACAACTCCTGCAGCATACACAAACACTTGCATTTTCAATAAAACATTATGATTTAAAACACTTGCACCTTTGAGTAGCGTGCCTGAGCACAAGTGAGTACAAGTGCTTGCCCAGGCATTTTACTGGCCATGCATGACACTGTTTGTACTGACCTTTTTCAATAGTAAGGTTTTAGTGAAGATGCAAATGATTCTATATAGTTTTGCTGTTGTTAAACACAGCCCCCTATATGGGTGAGGGAAAAAACTGATACGGTGTGGTATCACAATATTTTGCGTGCCAAAATTGTACCAATACACCGATGCCAAGAATCATTTCTTTTGAAAACATTATAATTGCAATTACCAATTAAACTTTTGGTAGCCAACTGGAATAATAAAATCATTGCTTTTTTCAGTCCACTAGATTCATGTTGTTGCAATAAAAATGACTGAAGTGGGAAAAGACTGAACACTCAGATAAAACAGATGAAGGTAACAAGTATATCACAATATATGGGACTGTAAGACTCAGCATATTGCAAAACATTTCAAATTGCAATAATGTTTGTAATCATGATAAAATCATATCGAGAGGCCTCGGGTGATTCCCACTAGTCCCCTGTGACTTCAATTCATCTAAAATGTTTGCCTTTTTTGGATTCTTCGTTCACCATGGAGGCATGTCCTCATCATGAATTCAATGTAACATGCAGTGAATAACTGCTATACAATTGGTCATTTTGTAAGTGAAGTATTCCTCTAAAGCTGTTCTCTTAAGAGCTCTTTCTGCAAATGAGCACAGATACTGCTGGTGTATGGTTGAGGTTATCTCATGAGTTTGCTGCCTCTCTGCCTGTTGAGTGTTTTTTCTTGGCTTCAGTAAGAAACCAGAATAAAATAAGCATCTAACAAATTAGCAGTGTAGTTTTGCTCTTGTTCTCTTGTTCTGTCTGTCTTTTCTTAGAACAAGTATGGAGTCACATACGTGTTATTTAAACACCACGATCATTGTAATTTTTCTTCACCATCATGGTAGTTTTTCTTCTTCTTAAACACTTTCCACACTGCCATTCAGTATGTTCACACCCTAAGGTTTGCTGTCAGAATCAACACCACATGAAACCTGGTAGAAGTTTTTGTTTGTTTGTCCAGTAACAGAGCTGCTGATTTGTTGAATGTGAAAGAAAGTATTTTCATTACAGTTTCTGGTTGCAGGAAACAAAACCTATTGCTATACTCCTTTCATTGTAGATGCAGACAGGAAGAACTGCTAACCTAAATCTATACTGTGCAACTTACCTTTCTTAACAGTCTTACCTTTTACCCTAACTGAATCTCAACTCTTTTACCTCATCTTATCCTCTTTGCACTCATTCAGTTCTTTAAAGTGGTTTGGTTACACCCTTGGCTCTGATAGCAGCACACAGTGTAATGTGGAGCTGTAAAAATGCAGCTTAAATCTTGAGACTGTACCTTGTAGAACTTCAGAAAAGTTCATACGAAACTCCTTAGCTCTGGCTGCATGCAGAGACAACACACAGAGAGGACAGAGGAAGAAGACAGAGAGGACATAAAGATTATAGCACTGCAGGGTGAATCTTTACCTTGGAAAGAGTACTGCGTTAGTGCAGAGCAATACAGAGGAGACGCAGGACTGCATGACGTGTCATTTTACCAGAAATGATAGGAATTTCTGCTTCTGCAATGTTTTAAAATCAGCCAAAAATTAGATTTAAACTGCAGCTGCTTCACAGCTTCACAGGTTATCCAGTTGTTGCAAGTAAAGAGACACTTCTATTTTTTTTTATAGTGAAGCATCTGCAAATAATTCACAGATATGTTTGTCCTTCCCTGGAACAACATGCATTTTTCTGTGGTTTAGGCAACAAATTACAACAGAATATCATTATGTCAGTACTTATGCAGAGTATTTTTCAAGTATTGTTGTCTAGTGTTCAAGCCAAAATCATGTTTAAAAAGAAAATGATTTTGATTTCAGTGAGCAGTGACAATGAGCCTTATGCATAGAAACATTCAATCACAGAGATTTGATATTAAAAGGATAGCTCGGATCTTTTGAAGTGAGGTTGTATGAGATTCTTATTACCAAAATTAGCAAAATGTATTTTAGACACCTAAAAAAAACATGTATATATTAACATACCTTTTGGCTTTTCTTTGCAGTAATCTTATTTTGTGTTTTATATTGCTTGCTATAGCTTTACATTTTTATTTTGTATTTTTGTTTTATGTGTTGTCTGTCTGTAACTTATGTTGTTGCCTATCTTGCCCAGGACACTCTTGAAAAAGAGATTCCTAATCTCAAGAGTTTTTTCTGGTTAAATAAAGGTTAAATAAAATAAAAATAAAAACAAACTTGATCGAGGCAGCCGTAGACCAGCAGCTCCCGTGTTCAGTGAAGCAAAATTACTGATTTTTCCAATGGAGGCTTTGACAAGAGCATAGATGTGGAACTGATGCTGTTAACGGTTTCCCCTTCTAAAATTGTTGTCTGACGATAAGGTACAGCAGTATAAACAGTCTAAATATAGCGTAATATAGGCGTTGTAAAATAACTGACAAATTTTGGCAATTTTGGAATAATTTCAGTTGCAACTGTGAATACCTGATACCTTGCTATCTGGTATCTGAAGGACTTCTGCCCTTAACTGGATTAATTAGATGTTTCCTTACACCAGGCATGTCAAAATCCTGCCCAGGTCCAACTGTGGCCCACATACCCATTTTAAACAGACCCTGGCTTGTTTCTCTAAATATACTATATGTGGCCCGCCACACAATATTGGTTAATCAAGCAAGACCACCTTGCATTTTTTTCCATTCACATCACAATATTAGGACTATCATACAGCTTGTAGACATGCACCAAGTAGGCACTCCACAGGTGGAAATAACATGTTTTAAAAAACAGGCGGTAAACCAAATCAAACAAACATTTATTTAGCGACAGACATTTCCTGCTCGGTAGCAGACATGGCCACAGTAAGGAAGTATAAAGTTGACAGCGAGAACCGCTGTCTCACTGCTGCAAAAACATTTGTATGTTGGTGAGAACAATTCTGTTGTTGAGTGCATGCTGCAAGAATCTGACTAATGAGTTTTTAGATTTCTCTTTTACACCATTATTTCAAAAGCAGGGACACAAAATCCTGAATGAGGCTCATTGATCACTTCTGTTGTAAAGCTGTGTAGTATTCATTTTTTTTACAGATCATGCAGCCCTGAAAGACTTCATACACAGAGCAGAGAGAGGAAACACACAAGATTAACTCTACAAACATCACAGTGGCTGCAGGGAGCTCCATATAAAGTAGGAATAAAGTTAACACAGAGTTGTTTTTATCTCAGATGCACTCTGTAAGGGGAAGTTGGTTGTCGCTCAGTAACTCACAAAGCAGTCAGATGGGAGGTTAAGTTTGAGATAAGACAAACATGTCATCTGACACGTACTGCTCTGTGTGTGTGTGTGTGTGTGTGTGTGTGTGTGCCGTGTGTGTATGTATGTGCATGTGTGCATGTGCGTGTGTGTGTGTCTGTCTGTCTGTGTGTGTTTGAGAGGAAGAGCTTGTGAAAACCTTGCCTGACTGTCATAACCACATAAAGACAGAAGCAGGCTCCTGTATGAAAACCAACTTTAGTGCAGTGTCTGAGTGTGTGAGCAGCTGAGCGTATGCGTGTGTGCATGCAGTGTGAACTAGAAACTAGGCCAGAAAATGTGACAGACCGCTGCCTGCAGTGTATGTGGTGTTCTTGAGTATTTTACTTTGTGAGTATTTGGAGGGAAACATGTTGCCCTGTGCTCACTGACAACACTGCTGCATTCTCCTGTGATGAAGCCAACTGCCACTCTTCATTTCTAAACCCAGTGCATCTTTCCTTCACCATAAAATAACACAATGACAAATCTCATTGTCACTTACCGATGACACTGTCATAGTCCACAATGTTGAAGTAGACCACGGCCACCGAGCTCCAGACACCCAGCAGAGCCAGAACCACAAACCAGGTAAACATGGAATACTTTGAACCTCCTCCTGCTGCTGCATCTCCTCCTGCTGTTGCTCTCTCCGTCCTTTTTCCATTCTTACTTTCCACCAGTGGTGTCTTCCCCTCTGAGGACATGAAAGTCAAGGGTCACTAAAGCATCATTACTAATAAATAACAGGCAATATTTTAGTTATTCTTTTTTCCCTCTTTCCACATTACACAGGATGGGACACAAGCAAACACTGAAGTTCACATTTGAACTCACTCAGTATGTTTACATGCACGCAGTAGTCAAGCTTAGCTCATAGCTCGACTAATCAGTCAAGTCACACTTATCGTCTTGTCGTAAACATGCAGAAGAGAACATCGAATTTCTGACCAAGTACAGTACAGGCCAAAAGTTTGGACACACCTTCTCATTCAATGCGTTTTCTTTATTTTCATGACTATTTACATTGTAGATTCTCACTGAAGGCATCAAAACTATGAATGAACACATGTGGAGTTATGTACTTAACAAAAAAAGGTGAAATAACTGAAAACATGTTTTATATTCTAGTTTCTTCAAAATAGCCACCCTTTGCTCTGATTACTGCTTTGCACACTCTTGGCATTCTCTCCATGAGCTTCAAGAGGTAGTCACCTGAAATGGTTTTCCAACAGTCTTGAAGGAGTTCCCAGAGGTGTTTAGCACTTGTTGGCCCCTTTGCCTTCACTCTGCGGTCCAGCTCACCCCAAACCATCTCGATTGGGTTCAGGTCCGGCGACTGTGGAGGCCAGGTCATCTGCCGCAGCACTCCATCACTCTCCTTCTTGGTCAAATAGCCCTTACACAGCCTGGAGGTGTGTTTGGGGTCATTGTCCTGTTGAAAAATAAATGATCGTCCAACTAAACGCAAACCGGATGGGATGGCATGTCGCTGCAGGATGCTGTGGTAGCCATGCTGGTTCAGTGTGCCTTCAATTTTGAATAAATCCCCAACAGTGTCACCAGCAAAACACCCCCACACCATCACACCTCCTCCTCCATGCTTCACAGTGGGAATCAGGCATGTGGAATCCATCCATTCACCTTTTCTGTGTCTCACAAAGACACGGCGGTTGGAACCAAAGATCTCAAATTTGGACTCATCAGACCAAAGCACAGATTTCCACTGGTCTAATGTCCATTCCTTGTGTTTCTTGGCCCAAACAAATCTCTTCTGCTTGTTGCCTCTCCTTAGCAGTGGTTTCCTAGCAGCTATTTGACCATGAAGGCCTGATTCGCGCAGTCTCCTCTTAACAGTTGTTCTAGAGATGGGTCTGCTGCTAGAACTCTGTGTGGCATTCATCTGGTCTCTGATCTGAGCTGCTGTTAACTTGCGATTTCTGAGGCTGGTGACTCGGATGAACTTATCCTCAGAAGCAGAGGTGACTCTTGGTCTTCCTTTCCTGGGTCGGTCCTCATGTGTGCCAGTTTAGTTGTAGCGCTTGATGGTTTTTGCGACTCCACTTGGGGACACATTTAAAGTTTTTGCAATTTTCCGGACTGACTGACCTTCATTTCTTAAAGTAATGATGGCCACTCGTTTTTCTTTAGTTAGCTGATTGGTTCTTGCCATAATATGAATTTTAACAGTTGTCCAATAGGGCTGTCGGCTGTGTATTAACCTGACTTCTGCACAACACAACTGATGGTCCCAACCCCATTGATAAAGCAAGAAATTCCACTAATTAACCCTGATAAGGCACACCTGTGAAGTGGAAACCATTTCAGGTGACTACCTCTTGAAGCTCATGGAGAGAATGGCAAGAGTGTGCAAAGCAGTAATCAGAGCAAAGGGTGGCTATTTTGAAGAAACTAGAATATAAAACATGTTTTCAGTTATTTCACCTTTTTTTGTTAAGTACATAACTCCACATGTGTTCATTCATAGTTTTGATGCCTTCAGTGAGAATCTACAATGTAAATAGTCATGAAAATAAAGAAAACGCATTGAATGAGAAGGTGTGTCCAAACTTTTGGCCTGTACTGTATGTCTGACTCTGCCTTGATAGATGGCGCTGTGTCCTTTTTAATATAGTGCATATTGAACTAGTTACGGTTAACCTGAAGAGGAAGCTAATGACGAATGAAGATGGCGGAGATGGATGTTGCTGTGGCTTTGTATGTTTTGTACATGCTTTTTACGTGTTAATTATATTACAAATTCAGTCTACCATGACCCTTAGGGTTGCCGTGTTGTTACTGCACTGCTATATACTGAACTGCTGCTACGTCACGTCATCTCCTTCTTCTTCTTCTTCCGAGTGAAAGCCTGCAAAAGAAAAAGTGGTGCACGCACAGAACGCCGAGTCCGACTCCAGTCAGACTAGGTGGATACATGCAGCAGTCTGATTTTCAATCGAATTATCTAGGTGCGTTAGTCAAGCTATGGATAGTCCAATTTTAGTTGGACTAAGCTGGTTACATGCATTTAAAAGTCCGGTTTCAGTCGGACTAAGCCAATAACTTGATTTTCTCAAGCTGCATGTAAACGTACTGATTGATACAGATCTACATCTTCTTTCCTTTAGGATATCATGTGTGTATTCATGGGCTACATGAGAGAAAAACAATATGGCAGAAGCCAGAAAGGGCAGGCTGACCCAGGAATAGAGTGAGAGACATACAGTCAACATGACCCTGACAGAGAGAGAGAGTTCACAACACCTATTTGTCCTGCAACACTGAGAACTGAAATGGCTGTTAGTAATGACAACAGCTATTTTCCTTTGTGTCACAAATAATCATGTCTGATTAATGGCCTCAATATTCAAGATACAACCTATAAATAGCCTGGTCTTTCATTAAGTGCATGTTTGTAAAAGCAATAAGCCCTGAGAAAGGTTTCTTTGCTGCACTGATGCAACACAAAGACATCATTGAGGGTTCAAATAGCTGCTATACAACTGATGACAACATGTGTGCTGTCTGAAGGATTTTATTTAAAGTAGTGATAATGCAAGAGATGGAATATCAACCAATAGAGTTGCAAGAGCTATTTTAAAAGCTTCCAGTGGTAAAAGTTCCATTCACACGTTCTCATACACAGTATTGAAGCTCTTCCAGTCTTGAATGGCCATAAGCACATTAGAAAGACAACTGTTAAGGACAATATTAATAAAGTCAATATATCCAATCACAGAGCTTTCAGTTCTGTTACTTTTGCTGCTAATGGCGAGGAGGAGCTAAAAAGAAACCCTGATATGATGATGATACGAGCTTGAATGAAATGAGTTGAATTCAGTTCAGTAAGTATGAGCACAGATGTCTTTTAATATTAAACATGTAAGGAAATATCGCAATGCTTATTTCCCTTACCACATTAAAAATTCCCATTATGTGTAAGCATCAAACTAACAGAGTAAGCGCTAGTTATTGCCCCTTGGTTAGCTGTTAAGGAATCTGCCTTGGTGTTTGGTGCATACAATGAATACACAATAAACATATTAAGAGGAAATAAAATTAAAGGCGAAGTACTGCACGAGAACATAAATACAAATCGAAAAATTGCAACAAAAATATACTTATACAAATACATAGTTCTAAAATGAATAGATGCCATTTTCTTTATTATTTAATAATATGACACAGAAATGGGATGGGAAGGAGTCATCCTTCCGGATTGGGACAGGACAGGAATTTGTTTTTGCTCCGTCATGGAATTGGGAAAGGAGTTTCAGTAAATTTTGCTTTCGACAGGCCGACACCCATTCCCTGATGACTAACATGTTAATGTTTAAGAAGAGAGAGGGTGTGGTTAATTTAATTTAATTTAATTTAATTTAATTTAATTTTTTGTAATCTCTCTTTTAATTTTCTGTTAGCTTTGCTGACAGACAGCTGGCTAGCTGTGTGAACATGCAGAAAGGTAGTGCCTGCTGCCCATCCTCTGGTCTCCACTGGTTAGCTAACATTACCCTTGGTCACTCTGCACTGTCCACCAACCAGATCTGGTGGGAGCTAGCTAGTGGCACCACTCATACGGTGACTACCGCTTGTAATACTGTCCCAGCCTAACAGCGTTGCCGTGGAAACTTGCTTGTGTCCACCATTTGGCCTTTCCCCAGGTTGCATCTGTAAGTAAACGGCTTAATTTTGAGCTGCAAACTCCCTATAGCATTGTTAACTTTACTGTTAGCTCTATTAGCACTGTAAGCAGTGTCAGCGCTGCTAGTGGTACTAACAGCTAATGTAATTAACAGTGTAAGAGGGGTTTTGCAACTCAACATGAAGCCACTTGCTTGCGTCCTAGGGGTGGGACGGCGTTGTTGTGAAAACATGGAGGAAATCGTCTGGTCTCCCTCCAGGTTGCCCCAGTGAGCAAGTGGCTTTTGTTTAAGCTGCAAAACCCCTTTAGCAGTCTTAAACATGTTAGCACAACTAGGCATGCTGACACTGCTAATGGTGCTAAGAGTTAACAGTTATTACTAGGGATGCGCACGATTAGACATTTAAACGATTAAACATCCACCCCCTTGCTAGTCGGCACTAGGGCTGTCAAAAAAAATTCAAAGTTTGAAAGATATTCAGATATATATATTTTTTATAAGTTCAAACCTAAATTTGATAATTCGAATTAATACTATTAATAATGTTGTATATCACGGCGAATCCTGTTCGGGCGGAGATGGCTCGCACACAAGCCGGGCCAGAGAGGGAAGCAGCGACGGAGGGAGAGGCACCGACGGAAGAGCCCGCTGCGCCAACACCACCTACTGCGCTGTCCGCAATGTGTGACCTGTTCGGGGAGACATACAGGGAGAGTGTTGTACCTGCTGCCTCCCTGCCTACCCTTTTTGAAGAAGAGATGAAACGTTACTGGAATGAGACACCACTACGAGCTGACCAGGATCCACTCTTGTGGTGGAAAACTACGCACTGAAGTATCCAAACATTGCTCAGATAGCGAGGCAGAAGATGGCACCTGGCACTTCAGTGAGGTCAGAACAAGTGTTTTCATCCGAGTGTCACGTTCATATTGCGCCAGCAATAAGCATCTTATTTTTTGTGTTTTTTTTTTTTTGTAAAAATACATAAATAAATAAATAAATAAAAATAAACATAATAATAATAATAACAATTATTATTATTATTATTATTATTATTATGATTCAAATTTTATTCAAACTTTAATAAATTAATTTGAAAATATTCAAACTCAATTTCATGGTGCTCTTGACAGCCCTAGTCGGCACCAGAAATATTAGTTGGTTAAACCAATTAGTGTTTCATTTATGTACAAGGCTGCTTAAATGTCACCCAGCCGCCCCCCACTAGTGGGTGCTACAGAGCCGTCAGACAGCAGTCCCCCTCCCTGCAGTAATGCGCGAGTAAACTGTAGTTTTTAAACAGCACGGCGGGAAATTGGAGAGATGTCCTCTCACAAAACCAGAGTGGTTTGGCAGTACTTTGATCTAGAAAATGAAAACAAGGTAGGTTATGTCAGAAAAAACTGGCATATAATCATTCGACTGGAGCAATGCCCAACCACATTCAACTCAAGCATTTGTATGTTAACCTGCACAGAACGACGGCTGCTGCTGCTAGCGGTGCTAGCCACACTCAGCCCAAATTGATATCATTCACCTGGGGACGCTGTGACCCCGCCCGGTCTGAGAAGATAACGCAGCTGATCACGACAATGACCTCTCAAGATATGCTTATGCTTAACTTTGTTGGAACAGAGAATCCCGTCATTTTCTAAAAAGGCTTTTATGTGAAACATTTTCAGGAACTTGTTGTGGAGGATTCAGTGACTAGTATGTTTGCGTATGGTACTTCAAATGTAGCTCCTGCCATCTGCTGCTGCTTTTTACATTACTACAACAACATTTCAGCTGGCACACGAACAGCCACAGTGACTGAAATAATAGTAAAAGTAATAAAAGTAGGACAAGGATAACCCGATGACATCACACACCTTAAAATCAGAATAATAAGGGAACAGGATGGAAAAAAAAAACTCCTGGAACCAGCTGCTCCTCCAACTTCAAAACTCTATTAACACAATTTTAACTGTGATTGGTGAACACTGTTCAAATATAAAGCCAAACCGTAACAGAATAACAGAATAAGCACTCAAATTCGAATGCTCCAAACAACTGTGCCAAACCAGGCCAAACAGAAAACGTGCCATGCCTAATCAGGATTCTCCTGGATCCAATTTTATTCAAGACTTCCTATGGCTACTGTACAACTTTAGTAAATGGAAAGCTTTAATTGTGTAAATAAGCTACAGGATGATTTGAGTTTGCATTAAAGCCATGCTTCACACTGTACAAGGTCAAACCAAACCAGTGAAAACCACAACAAACCAAACTATGTCGAGCTATAAGACAAACAAACGTCCTCATATCCAGCAATGTCTCACTGAGTCTAGTCTCGCCACCAGACAATCAGAGATCTCCGCCTTCTGATAGTCTGGGGACACTCCTTTCCAAAGTGCGTTTAACACACTGGAGAAAACGGCCGGCAACAAAGCAACGCCTCTTGCAATTTTTTAAAAGGACACGCCCTCCCAGAAATGTGCGCTCTCCCTTTTCTTGTCCGCAAGGAAACAAACACACAGAAAGCTTGAAAATGGATGCAGAGAGATTTAACCCCATTTTATCAAACGTGTGCTCAGTCCACAATATTGTGGAAATGAAGGACTTACAGCGACTTTGTTTAAAACTTTTAACGCAGTCGGACTATGTTTACAAGCACAAGAGTTCAGCGAGCCACTGAAGGACCACCCTGCGGATTTACTTTTGGTTCTGCAACGTAGGGAGTTTTTTTAAACTCTGAAATTGTATCCGCCCATCTAAACACAAAATCAGGGAGAAAGACGTCAGTCTTTAGTTAAGCAAAGCATCTAAAGACTTGTGAGTCTACACTGAGTCCTACTCCTCATAAACACACTCACTAACCATGCCAAACCAAACCAATCCATGCCAAACCAAACTCACAAACTCCTCCTACCTGTCTCCTGGGCAACAGGTTGAGCTTCCTCCTTCATCTGTGTGACCTCCTCCTCATTAACGCCTCCTAACCAAACCAAACCACACCAGGCCAGATAAGAATCAAACCAAACTAGGTCAAACTTCATTCCTACACCAATCCTACCTGTCTCCTTCTCCACTTCCTCCTCTATCAGGGGCTCTGCCTCCTCCCCATACACCTTCTCTTCAGCATACACCTCGTCCTCCTCCTCCTCCTCTTCAGCATGGATCTCCTCTACAGGGACTGAGGAGGGTGAGACAGGGTAGGATGTACCATAGTGGCGATAACGCTGCATGGATGGTCTTAGGTCTCAGCTCAACCCAAAAACAGGACCGTGCCAGGCCAGAACTGGGCCAGAACCAGGCCAGAGCAGACAACCTTCCTGAGTAGATATACACAGTGTGTTGCACACTAAACCACCATCACAAAAAATTAAAAATAACAATTTTAGAATATAAAGTGATGGACGTGTGAAGTACCAGATGAAACTAGACTGAAAAAAGAAGACTTAGAATCGCAACTATTTAAAAGATTTCAAAAACATGACAAAATACTTTCGGAAAACTGTATAAATGTTTAAATAGTACAAAACAATGAGCTGATGTAAAGAGATAAAAACAATCAAAAAGAACAAACAATCCAAATTACTGATCGTCCAAATAGGAAAGCAGCTATCAAGGAGGACAACAAAATGTGAATAAGCTAAGCAGGAGAAAGAAAGAGCTTCTCCTCTTCCTCCTTGTCTTCTTCCCAGCAGCTCTACAATCTACTGGCCATCCAGAACCTGATCCCCACTATTATTAGAGCTGACAAATCCAGGGACACTGTGTGTGTGTGTGTGTGTGTGTGTGTGTTTGAGATGCCAGAGAGGACAGAATAGTCCCCCAAATAACCTTGACACTTGTTTGTTCTCTCTCTCTCTCTCTCTCTCTCTCTCTCTCTCTCTCTCTCT